CTAAGATACATTTGCTAGACAAAAACCCGCTCGCGGGATCTTTGACCTGCGCTGGTGACGACTGCGCGAGCAGAACAGAGACAGAATAGTACGAAAAACCAGAAGGTATTTTGTAGGAGAAGAACGTGGTGGATACTTGTAGTCGTTGCTTTTTGAGGTGGCAAGTGCTGCCTGCCGTTGCCTTAATACAATTAACAGTAAATACAAGTTGGCCGGACTCTAATTAGCCGTACGGCGACACTCATTCATGACTTCGATACTTTTGTGTGCCCTCGCTGTAGTATCTGCGCAACACTTACATTACAATGTCGATATGCTGGCTACACCGATATATATGTCTGCATATTTTATATAGACCACTGCACACACGTCACTTGTATTTTTTGCCACTTTATTTTTGGTATCTATTGGATATTCCGACGCATTTGCTAGCACTTCCCGCAGGCCATTCAAAATATTCACCTTTGCACAGTATATTTGTATTTTTTGCCTGTTAAGCCGTAAGCATTTCAGTTAGATTTCCAAAAGCGTTTAATGTTTTTTTTATTGTTTGGAATTCTGTGTGTTCGGGGCGCCGCAAGAAAAAATCGATCGACGCGGACCGCCTTGAGGAGCGGTGGAGACAACTGGGCAGCTCAGTCGTGCGCTCGCAACGAACTGATCTGAACTTGGCCTGGGCCGCCATCTTAGCCCGCTCGCGCTTCAACTGGAAGTGTTGGAATGGAGAGAGGCGATTTCCACTCGGAGTGCACAACTCTCCCAATTGGAATGGCCTAGGCCGTCAAGCAACAGTTGAAGTTGAGTTTGCAGCGAACTGATCTGAACTTGGCCGCGGCCGACATCAAAGCCCGCTCTCTCTTTGACTGGAAGTGTTGGAAGGGAGGGCGAGAATTGAAATGGCCTAAGCCGTCAAGCAACAGTTTAAGTCCAGTTGGAACAGTGCGCTCAGTTGGTTTGGACGTGTTCGCGGAGGTTAGAAAGAATATATTTAAAAATTTAAGATCTTTTAATATAAATGCAGTATAAACCAATAGTTTAAAAAAACTAGTTTCTATAACTAGAAAATTCTAAATACAAAAGTGTTTGTATCTTTAAAAGAAATACATTTTCTTGCTGTTGGTATTTCTATCTACGTGAAAGACACTCCATACTTTTCAATATCTCTCTCTGGAATGAAACTCTTTCTCTCTGCTTAAAAATGTTACAATGGTTTCTCTTACAAATTAATTAAAAATACAACTTTTGCTTTTGAATATAGAGAAATAATTAAGCAATTTTTAAAAGAAATTATGATCAGCATTTATGCTAAAAATATATTTTTATAAAATGACTTAAGTTTACCAAATAACCTCTCTTATTCTCTGTGATGAATTTTATATTGCTCTTAAAATCTGGAAATCAACTCTTACCACTTGTACGGCTCTTAAGCTACTAACAAAGGTAAAGGCCCGAAGAGCACTAGAAGTGTAAACAAACAAAATCAGTTCTCTCAGTGGTGGCTATGAAAATGATCGGCAGCGACTACGTACTGGAAGCACACAACATTTTCCACACCACCGAGGTAGGTGGTTCTCTCTCTCTCTTAGATCGAGAAAAAACCCTTCGCGGAATAACCTTCTCTGTTTTCTTTTGGTTCTGCCAACAGGTGGATGGTGGTGGCTGTTTCAATGGAGCCGGCAACTCGGCCCTGGTGCTCAAAGGCGTTAATCTCACCGTGCACAGTGGCGAGGTGATGGCCATTCTGGGCTCAAAGGGTATTTGGAATACAATATATTTCTTTAAATGGTCAAATAATAATAAATTGTTGATTTGCAGGCAGTGGCAAGAGGGCCCTTCTGGATGTTATCTCAAGGCGTGCCGATGGAGCAACTCGCGGTCAAGTGCTGCTCAATGGATCACCCCTCTCCAAGGCATTGTTCCAACAGCGATGCGGATATGTCACCCAGTCCTGCACCTTTGTCCCTGGTCTCACCGTGGCCCAGACTCTTCACTACACCCCCACCATAGTAAGTAGTACCAAAGCATAGTTACAGTACCAAATAAAACGGTTTAGAGCTTCAAGCTACGAATACGGCAATGATTAAAAAAACATTACACAAGACAACAAAAACCAAAAACCTTATATCAACCTCTATTAGCTCAAATTAATGCACATGAGCATTTTGACTAGTGTTTTCATTTTAAAATATGATGTTACATCTCGTCAGAGATTTCCAAACAAAAACTAGAATTCTGCTAGGATTTAATTGCTTTTAAACTTCATCAAAAGATTATTGAAGCAAATATGGAGACTCTTAAATGCGTATAAGGTGATACTTGAATTATTTGTATTTAAAAACCGTATCAAGCCTGTAGAGGGTAATGAACAAGAACAAAGCTTTGATTTTTGGTGTTATAAAACATAATCCATTTGCAGTTGAGTGGTTATCTGAAGAGTTCAAAGGTGCGTCAAGTGCTGGCCGATTTGGCCCTTTCCCAAGTGGCCCACAAACGTGTGGAGTATCTGAACATCAGCGAGGCGCGACGTCTGGCCATCGGAATCCAGTTGGTCCGAGATCCTGGTGAGATGTCTGACTAGTATCTCACTAAGAACTATTAAATAAATAAACTTTATCCTTAGTAATGTTGCTACTGGATGAGCCCACTCATGGTCTAGATCCCTTGAGCGCCTATCTGCTGATATCCATTCTGTCCAACACGGCCAAGAAGACGGGATGTGGCATTCTACTTTCGCTGGAGAAGCCGCGCTCCGATGTGTTCCCATTCCTGGATCGTGCACTATTTCTGTGTCTGGGCGGAGTGGTCTATTCCGGCGGCACTCGGGCCATGCTGGAGTACTTCCATGGCATTGGATTTCCGTGCCCCCAGCTGGAGAACCCCCTGATGTACTATCTCTGCCTGTCCACCGTGGATCGTCGGAGTCGCGATCGGTTCCTGGAGTCCAGCCAGCAGATTGAGGCGCTGGTCGAGCGATTCTCCCGGGAAACTCCCATCTCGGATGCCCCACTGAATAACATGGGATCTGGCAAGGTGCCACTGGCCTATGGAAAGCCTGGAGAGCTAAAAGTTTGGGTTATGCTATATTTGTAAGTATGGTTATGCTGTATTTGGAGCTGGTAGCAACTTTGAACAGCAGAATTAAACATATTGAGGGCATAGGAACGAGCCTGGCCAAACTGTTTATAATTATTTTTAAAAATGTCTTAGAACAAAGTTAAAAATGTTCCTTAAATTTAGGTCATTTCGACAGTTTTATATCGTTTTTTCTAAAACTACCTAAATTTTTAAAATTTTTAGGGTCATTTAGCTTTTTTGTGTTTACCAAGTATAAGATATATAATATATCTACTTTTCGGTGTATTTTAAATTAAGCTTTTTTTGTACCAAATAATTTTTGAGCCTGGTAGCATTTATAAAGAACAAAAACTTAAAAAGTATTTTTAAAGACTTATCAGATTTAAACACACAGCAAATTCCGTTTGCAGTCAGTAAATTTAAAGTCATATTCAATTTTCCAAGTGGTGCAATAATTTTATAACTGTTTTCTTTTCCTTTCCAGAAAATTACTGGCATCAACCTTTTCTTGCGGCCTCGTGGGCATGAAGACACTATTTCTGCGCATGCTGCTGCTTCCCTTGGCATTGAGTATTTTATGGGCCTTTTACGCAGATGTCGGGGTAAGCCAAGAGGTCAATTAAAGTTTAAAAATTACTAATAGTGATTCTTTAGGACGATGCCCCTGGTTTCTTTACCAAAAACGGCATGATTCTTAATATATTGGGCTTGTCTTATGGCTGCGGTATCCTAACGACCATAGCTCTATGTGAGTAATAGCTTTTATAGTAAAGTTTTTGTCCTTATGTTCTTAAATATTTTTTCAGTTCCCATTTGGCGGAAGAAATTCTCACAAGACACACCAGAGGGACTTTATTCGGGAACTACTCTATTGATTGCCTACAATTCCGTATCCATACCCTTCTCCGCAGTATCCGCCGTAATAGCCAGCTGTGTTGTTTATCCGTAGGTTCTTTGGATTCGTAAAATTGCTTCCAAATTTATGTTTCGATTTGTTGCTTAGCCTCCTGTTGGATGTAAAGTACAATAATGGCATTGTCTTTGCCTATTTGCTGATGGCTTTATGGTCCAGTTTTGTGCTGGCCGAGCAACTGACGATTGCCTTCCTTTTGGTGGTCAAGGTTCCTTTCAACGCAGCCATTGCTGTGACCTATATTCTGGTGATCAGTATTGCCCTGGCCAGTGGAACTGTGCGGTGAGTTCAGATTAAATTTTTCGCTAAGTTATTGTTGTTGACTAAGAAACATTTTCCCTGCCGTCAGCTCTTTCAAAGGCCTCCAACCCTGGCTGCAGGACAACACCAAGGGCACCCACACACGATACGCATCCTCCCTGCTGCACAGCATTGCTTTTCAGTCGCGGAAACTCAACTGCACTCCCACTGCCTCCGTAATTTGTCCCAAGCCAGCTGACTTTATGCACGAGCGACTGGGATTGCCAGATCCAGATGTAAGTTGGAATATAATATTATATATTATTCTTCAGATAAAATACTATTATAATTCACAGGAAACCATCGATGTGGCCGCGTCTTGCGCATTTGCCGTGGGCTTAGCCGCCTTTAACATGCTGGTCTACTTATTTCCCATGCCACGATGTGTGCGCCAGAAGTTCAAGGACTGAAGATCTTCAATTTGCAATCTAAAATTTAATCTAGATTTTATCTTAATTTAATAAAAAGCTCTTCTTAATTATCTATTTATATTTCTTCGTTTTTAAATAATTAAATAATGAGCATCAGATATAAACGTATAAATTCTACTTGAACAAATTGCTTGTTAAATGGCTCTTTTGAAATTGGAATATAAGTATTTAGATGTATATTTAATGAATTATAAAAATTTGTACCGAATTATGCAGGTTCTAAGAAATTTGTATGACCCAGTTTACCTTAAAATGTGTCATCGAAAAATTTAAGAAACGGCTTTTACGATTTACATTTCATTTTATTTACAAGAAAACTTAATGCTAATACAATTTCGTAGATAATTCATTGAATATTAGACAACAAGTATAAAATGCTTCAATGTCAATTCCTTAAAAACTTCCTTTCTTCCGGTTCTCGATACGATTTTCGCTGCCAAGCCAATTAGTTTTCGCTTTAATTCAACAATTGTCTAAAGACTAAAAATATATTCCTTTCATTTAAATAACTAGATACACGCATGGAAATTCATTAGAACGCATCTGAAACGGATTGAATGAATGTACGCGAGTGTTAATGGGTGTTCAAGCGGTTCGTAAATAAGATATGCATATGGATATGGATATGGATATGGATTTTATAGTTTAGCGTTTAGAGCAGGGGTGCTCAAGCCTACCCAATACATTGAGTTTGTTTTGTTTTTAATCGCTAATCCAAGTGAGCACCCCTGTTGTAGAGTTGTGATGAGCATGGTGGGGGAATAACTGGCTGTTTAAAATACTGTGGCACCTATTTGGGGGGTTGCTATGGAATTGGGGGCTATCGAGTAGTTGGGCAGGACAAGCTCAGCTCAGCTCAGCTCAGCTCAGTCCGTGTCGTAGTAGGCGTAGTCGTAGCTGGTGTCCTCGTCCGCATATGGTGGCCTCTTGCCACCAGGTCGCTCCTTCTTCTCCAGCTGCAGCTGCTCCTTTTTGCTCTTCACGGATTTCTTGGCGTCCACTTGTTTGGGTGGTGCACTTGTGGTGACAGTGGTTGTGGTTCTGGCTGTGGTCGTTGGGCGTCGGGTGGTGGTGCTGGTGGTAGTACTAGTGGTACTGGTAGTGGTGCTAGTGGTGCTACTACTGCTGGCCTGCGGACTAGATGCCGCCAGCTGCGGACTGTACTGTGAGTTGTACTGCTGCGAGGTCTTTTCCGCCTTGTAGATGTCCGCCCTCAATTTGTTGATGCTGGCTGCCCCGAAGTTTAGGGATTGGGCGGTATTAAAGAGCTCCTCCTCATCACTGAGGTCTGAATCCCTATCCCTTTCCCTTTCCCGTTCCCTCTCCTTTTGATTGTTGGACTGCTTCACGTAAAAGCCATGTGGCTGTCTACTTGCTGCGACTGGAGCACTTGTGGTGGTGGTGCTGGTGGAACTGGTGGATCGGTTGCGCAGAAACCGTATGCGATTTCGCGGGAAATCATTCTCGTAGAGCTCCGGATGGTACTGACCATCGTTCTCGTCCACATTGGGATTGGCTGTCGTGGGTGGTGGTGCTGTTGCCGAAGTGGTTGCCTTCTTAAAAACCCCCTGGGTTGTGGGTCGGTGGGTCAGCTGCGTTTGGTAGCTCTGCTCGTAGGGTTTCTTATAGGTGGTGGGTCGGAAAGTGGTGGGTGTGTAGGCCTCTTTAGCCCTGCTTGTGGCACTAGTAGTTGGGTAGTAGAGCTCCTGGTCCGCATAACGCTCGGTGGTGGCCTTGTAGGTAATGCTGCCCCGGCTGGTAAACGAACGTGGCTTGGAACTTGAGGGTGCGGAAAACGGAGCTGGCTCCTGGTTACCCACTCTGCCCACCTGTGGCTTGTGTCGCTGATAGTGTGGCTCCAATTGAATGGGCTTGTTCTGGGAAACCTGCACCTGGAAAGGCTGTGGCCTGGGCATCTTCGACACCTCCACGAACTCATTCTGATTAATGTAGTTGGACTCCTGGGGACCCAGTTTCTGTTTGCGCACAGCGGAAGTGGTGGGTTTGCTACGCTTTTCGAAATCCTGAACTCCTTTGCCCGTCACTTTAGTAGAACTTTGTTGGCTTGCTGGTGAAGTGGTGGTCTTGAACCTATAAGCTCCATTGTTGGGATTGTAGGTGGTGGGTTGAATCTTTTCCTGGGTGGCAAAGTCACTGGAGCCGAAGCTAAAGCGACTGGTGATGCTGCTGCTGGGACGCGAAGTGGTGACCCCATTGTTGGAGGAAGTCTTGTCCAGGAAATCCGTGTTGAACGTGGCATGTAGGGTAATCTTCTTCAGGGATTTGGTGGTTCCTGGTGCAGCAGTGCTAGTGGTAATAGGACTAGTGGATCGCTGTCCTCCTCGAGTTGGTGTAATCTTGCGACTTTGGTAGTCCGAGAAGTCATTGGGTTTGGCTCTCGAGGGCGAGGGCTCCTCGTCGTATTCCCGACCCCCATGGCGATTAGAGAAGAAGTGCGAGCTGTGGGAACCCTTGAAGATATCATCTATGTCTTCTGTGGATGGCAGATGGTGATTAGTTTGGGCAATGCAACTCTATTGTTTTTTCTTACGCTTCGAGTCATCATTGTTGTTGTAGTTGTTGCTGTAATTGTTGCTGTAATAGTTGTTGTTTCTTTCGGTTGTAGATGTGGCTGTAGTTGTGGTTGTCGTGGTCTTCGGACTGCTGGCCAAAGTGGTCGGCGTGTAATAGGTGGAAATGGGTCGCTTCGTTGATTGCGTGATCTCCAAATTGGGATTGGAACTGGAGCTGGAGCTGCTACCTGTCTGGGCGTAATTGTGGCGAGGGCGTGACTTCTGCTCCCCGCCACGATTGTTGCTGTTGTTGCTGTTGTGGTTCTCCTTAGAGCGGCGCACATCGCCTGCAATGACAGATAACCCTGGCTTAAATAACACTCCAATCACACCTCTCGTTTCCGTCAAAACAGATATCTAGATTAGTCGGTTTTTCTTTGTAATTGTTCTTATAACTAGTTTAAAATAATAGGGTCTTATTTCAGGAAGACACCTTTAATTCAACTTCTTGCTTAAGAGGGCAGTAATAAAATGAACATTTTAGTGATTTTTTGTTGATGATTGTTGATTGTCATTTATTCCTTGAAAATACATTATAGTAAGTTCATTATACTAAGGCACTTGAAGAATAATTTATTAAATTTTAATGGAGAAATGTTTTAAAATTTCACAAAAATCGATGTAGATGAACACTAAAAGATTCTAAATTCACTACAGCTATAATAAAAAAATGTGTGATCGGAAAGAAATTTTAACACAAAATTCTTGAGATATTATGCATTTATTTAAACATTAAAAATCCTTCTCTTATTCAAGTGAAACCTTTCGGTTGATAATTTTAGTGAACACGATTAGAGTTCATCTTGTTTAATAATTATTTTGTTCACTTGATACTTTTTACTAAAAATTAAAAAAAAGGCATTATTTAATATTATATGTTTAGATACTTATCCTAATATTGCTCAGCCCAACTGCATTACTCACCCGTTTCGGCGCGTTGCAGGTGGAAGGTGGGCTCCTCCTCGTGGGTCGACTTGCTCTCGTCGCCGGCGCGGTAGAGATCGTTGAGGTGGCCGTGGTCGTAGAAGGACGTGGCCTTGTCGCAGTCCACGTCCACCCAGTTGGCGCAGATCTGAAGCTCCTGGTCAAAGGCTGTCGTGTTGGGACAAAGGAAGCGGTAGTCCTGCACCTGTTGGACAAACTGATTAGCTCTTCGGTGTAGGAGCTGCGCAAACAAAAGCAGCGAAAGCATCAAAAGCACCAAAAACAGCACCATTAGATAGGCAGAGCAACATGCAAAATTTAAAATTCAGTTATAAGTGGGTTCGATTAGGCCAATAAAGCATTAGAGCAAAGATCCGAGCAGCAGCTGCAGTCACGTGAATAGCGTACCCCCAATCGCATTTATGTTGATCAAGACTGGTTAACTCTAAGCTAAAATGTTCTAAACCAGGGCAACATTTGCTGACTTTGCACTCAACCAAATAGATTTATGCAAATATATTAAACATTTTATGTTCAGCTAAGATTATTCCACAATTTACTTTATTTTGCTTACAATTCCTTAACATTTTAAAAGAAATAATTCAATGGAAATTTTTAAAAATACGCATTTCTTATACAAATTACCAAAATATCACAGTGCTTGCATTAGTTTCCTTTTCTGAATGAGAAAACCTATTAATTCTCTTTATAAAAATAAATATAGACTTAAATCAATGGCAAAGCTTTCCCGAATTCTTTTAAACAATAAAAATTGAATTGCTTAGATGTCCAAAATTGTATATCTGTTTTAATAGGCATATGAAGGGCAATTTGCTGTTTCGCAAAGATTTCCTTATTTCGTTAACAACGTTTTTAAGATTTTCCAGTTACTCTGATTGAGTAAATCTAATAACTCTCTAAAAATGTAAAAAGTAATTATAATTATTCGTTTAGAGTTTCTAATCAACAATGATTCCCTTACATATCCAAATACTTCACAGTCATTTAACCATTTTGGTAGAAACACGACGGGTTAGTGTATTCCCTGGCTAATTGAATTTAGGAATTGCCAGTGTAGGGGCACACATCCAATCAGTGGCTTCCTTGTGCGGCGAGTTTTAATGCCACTAGAAACCAGAAGTGCACGATGGCCTGTCGCCAACTTTGGCATTTCCACTTGCCACTTGGCATTTGAGTTGGCGTTAACCCGCAGGGGAAGCATAAGCTTCGGAGGCCAGAAGATGAAGTGAACGTTCTCGTTCTGATTCTCGAAGATACGGCATACAGTAGGCTAATTGACAGGCCGAAATCCATGCTGTCGCATAGAACACTCATTTACACAAGTCACACACACACACAGACAAAACCCGTTCTTGTTAGTTATTTCCTTTTTTTGTTTGTTCTTTTTCGTTTTCGCAGTTTAAAGATGAGCCAGATGAGGGTATATTTGTTCCGAAAACTCCTGGCTCCTGCTGGTAAACTACAGGAGGAGGTGGCCGAGGAGGCCATATCGGAGGTCATAGACCAGGTCCTTGGAGGAAGGACCAGCACGGTTTTCAACTGCGGTGGTCTTCAATTGGCTTGTGATCCCGCGGACATGGTTACCCGCATCCTGGGCGAACTCTTCGCCAGCGTTTACTCCATGGAGGTCAATATGGAGGTGCACGTTTCGGTGCGACATGTTCAGTTGAGCGGCGATTCGGAGGAACTGATGGCCAATCTCAAGGGAATCTCCAGTGGAGGGGCCAGCCGGGATCACTTTGTGGCCACGCCCCGCCAGGTTTATGCCTACATCGAAAGGGTAATGAGTGATAAATCAAAGGATTGCCCGCACCTCATCTTCACCGTGTACGTGAGACAGACGAATGGCGAAGAGTCTTGGAAGTGTTGTGGCAAGCTGCAACTCGTGCATCTGAAGAAACTTTCGGAGAACTCACCAACTCTACAATCGGACTCCCCACTGGACGCCTTGGTGACTCTTTTCCAGGCTTTGGCCCACAATCCCAAGACTCACATCAGGTACCATAACATACGGCTGAGCAGAGTGCTGCAACAGTTAATGGGCTGCGGCGCAAGAACTGTGCTTATAAGCTACACAAATCCGCCGGAGGTAAGGAATGCCCAGCTGGTGACCCCCGCACCCAGTTCCCCACCCATTACCAGCATGCCAGCCAAAGTCTGGTGGGGATTGTTCAGGCTGGAGCGCAAAAGGTACTGCTGTCTGAGGGACAAGGTATTGGGCATGCTGGCGGAGCAGGAGAAGGATGAACTGGAGAAGTTTCTGGAGCGCCTGGAGAACAGTTCGGAGGAGGAGGAAATGAAACAGGAGTCCTGCTTGATGCTGCAAAAAATGCAGCAGATTCGCTCAGAGGCGGAGATGTCGATTGAAAAGTTGGAGGACTTACAACTAAGCATAAATCAGCTGGCCCAGAGAAACCAACACTTGGAGCTGCATCTCAGCCAGAAGAATAGTGAGCTGGACAGGCAAAGCCTACTACTAAGCTCCGCACATATGCAACTAGCAGATCAGCAGCGGAAGTTCCAGGAGAAGATGACCGAGTACTCCGACCTCTTCCAAGAATTGTGGCAGCGGCAGAGCTTGGTCAGCCAGAAGCAGGAGGAACTACAGCGACGGCAGTTGTCCCAATTGTTCGACACCATCTGCCGGGATACCCAGCGATGGCGGCATAGGAAATTGGGCGAAGAAGCAGTCGCGGAAGAGCCCAGTGGGAGACCGTAGTCATCTCGGCTCTGCAGTGAAGAGGCAGCAAAGACGCTTAAAGGTCAGCCAGTCAGCTAGTCAGATCTTCCGGACCAGTCACGAACCATTCGCAGCCCCATCTCACACATTCCCCAGCGCAAACAGCGCATCTGGCTGTGCCACTTTGCCATTTAACCGTTTATCCATTTAGCTGCCGCGATGGAAACGAAGCAAACCGATGACTGCCGGCAAGTTCGTTGCCTAAGTCTTTCCTTTTCGCCCGCTGTGTTTCAGCAGTGAAATTTGCAAGGGCGGCTGCCAATGAAATGTTAAGAAGAAGTCGCCTGGGCTGAGCAGTTGAAACTATGTTCTTCCAGCTCTCTACTCTGCCTATGACAGTATATCAAGCAATAAATTTGGCCATTTATTTTAGGATATCAAATTTAAAACAAGTTTTTCTTTTTTCAATTTTAGTTATTACTGCCTGAATAAGTTAGATTTACTATGGAACAAGTAAAACTATTTATAAAACAAAAATAATTTTTTAAAATCTCTATAAATTTCGGTATTAACGTTTATAACAAAATTTCAGTCATATTTTCTCCATAAAACAAAAATATGTGAAAAATAAAGAAGCTTATAATTAAGAATATAGTTAGTTCTAAAAAAGATTAGTTTGTCGTCTGAATTGAAAAAATAATATACACAAACAAGAAAAAACGGACCTACGAAAATCATAGGAGTGCTTGAATTTTCTTTATCAAACAAAAGTGTATCATATAAGAATATAATTAGTCAACCTAGTTGTTTTTTAAATGGCAAAATAATATACATTAACAGGAAAAAAACGAACCTTAAGAAATCATAGAAATAAAGATGTTTGTATTATTTACTTTCTCTTCCTAACAAAAGTGTAAGTGTAGTTACTGAACCTAACAAAAATATACTTGGGCTTTATAAAGAAACCAAAAATAGTCTGTCGTTCGGCTGTAGCTATTAACGATATGACTAGCTGCTGCCCCGATCTCGGCCAGGAACAGGAGCAGGAGCATTTGCACCTGGGAACAGTAAACAACACTCACCCCCACTCCGGGCAGCTTGACGCAGACGTGGAACATCTGGCACTGGGTCTCCGGATCGGCGTAGTAGCCTCCCAGGATCTTGTCGCTGCAGGTGAACTGCGTCTTGGGCATGTTCTGCAGGCTGTAGGTGGGCCAGGGTCTGCCGAAGGCCAGATCATCATCCTCGTCGAGCAACTGGGCCTGCGTGAGTCCACTGAATCCACTGCAAAGAGTCGTTGCTGCAAAAGATATCGAAAGATGGGGTAAACAGAAAATCAGAAATCGTGATCTGGTTTTTGGACTGCTCTTCAAATGGCAGCTCAAGTCGAATGCTAGAATGGAGACGGGTATCTTAGTGGGAACTGATGCTGGTATGCTGACCTGGTCAGGTGACCTTCGGGCCGCATCACTTTCGCTTACAACTCGTGATTTATGTGTGCTGCCGGAGCACTTGCTGCGGTCCAAGGCTGTACGAAGCCTCTAACTCGAGACCGCTTTTTATTTACTTTTTCGGAGCAGCATCGATTGGTATTTGCGATGCCAAGAGACACATAGACATCATTAACATTTTGGCCAGACGATATATGATCGCTGTGGTCACAAACGGATCCACTGGGCTCATGGGGGTCGCTCAATTAAAATGCCAAGTCAATCAATATTGCGGATTACGATTGTCGTTCGAACATGTGTTGGGCATTAAAAGCCTAATTACCCTGAGATTGTACAATAAACGAGTACACAGAGAAAACAATAACTATAACTACATAGCTATATAAGATTCTCTTGTAGCACCAGCATAGAAAGAATAAATAAATAGCAAAAAAAAGGTTAAAAGTATTTACACTTAGTTAAAATACATTTGCATAAAGCGTTTTTCCTGCTTTTGCACACAAGCCTTTTGGAAATTTTCTCTGTGCATCATTGTCTTAGACTTTTTATATATCCATATATATATTTTTCCCATTCTGCGCAGCTTCTGTTCTTCACTCAGACATCAGACACCAGACATCAGCGGAAGATGGTTTCGCTGCAATTAAGGCAAGTGTAATTGCCATTGCAAAAACTGCAGAACAAAGCAGCTCCTCTTCTCCAACTGCAAATTGCAGTCTCAGGTTGCATAATCCCCAGTGCGCCCCCATTTATCATGCCAAAAAAAACAAAAAAACAACAAAATAAAAAAAAATAAAAAAGAAAAACCGCTCAAGGAAACCCCAAATGCAAAGCAAAGAGAAATCAAGCAGAGTTCGAAGAAAAGAAAGAAGCTCGTCTACGATTCGCATTTTATTCAAGTGAATTTCAAGTCGAAAACTTTTCACCTCCCCAGAGAAGGAGAAGCCCATTGTTTGGCAGTGAACTATGACTGGGCAGATGGCAGCTGGCATGGGGCATCTTTTGTTAGCCCCCTCCAATGCAGATGGTTCGATTCCGATTTAAATTGCTTGGTTCGCTGGAGTGAATCTATGTACAAATTGGTCAAGACTTTGGCCTGGCTTAAGCTCTCACGCAGTGACTGGAATCCCCTTAAGCCACTGCTCTTTTTTTTTGGGCGTTGTCCCAGCTCCAACTCTTACCGAAAACATAATTACCATACTGATGACCCACTCTTAGCAGTAATTGCCATTTCTCAGCCTTGTCTTCATTTTTGCCTGATGCGGGGGCTCTGCAGCAAATTGCGCTTGATTTCAAATGTGATCGATATGAAACTCATTGAATCCCATTAATTTCTTTCGCGATGGACCTTGAACCACGTTCAAAAACAAAAACTAATGAGCATGCGATTTTTTATTTTTACCGATATACCATCTTTTATGTTAATACACAATGTGCGATTGTTAAAAGAAGGTTGATCATCAGCAAATCGGACCACCACAAGAAGCGTAGTTTTTAATGATGTAAAAACGATTGGAAAGCTTGGTCCTATAATCGAAATTTAATATCTTTTTTTCAAATTCCTAAACCCATTTTCGGCTCTAAGCCTTTTTCTGTTCATAATTTCAGCCTTTACCTTTTGCTCCATTTTGGAATTCAAAAAAACTTTAAACAAGTATGAAGATATCGCTGTTTTTCCTAAAACCCTTGAGTTCGAAATTTAATTTCTAAAGTAAATACTATACTATATGCATTTCTAACAAAAAACTTAAATTGCCAAAATATGTATTAACATGTTTTCTTTTAATCTTTAAAGAAATTTTCAACTGATTAAAGCATATGAATTTTATTAAGTACAAAGTTTAACAAATGCTTACATTTAAATTCGTTGCAAAGTACTTTAAAACTTTAAAAGAAAATACATTAATTTATATTTTTGTGTGTGTTGTAGTTTATATTTTCTATGTAGTTTTTGAGGACCTTTACAATTTAGAATAATATTTTATATTCCTACTAGATTTATCTATCTAAAATTTGTTTTTCTGTTTTAGTATTCTCTATGAATAAATAATAAGTTAAAGAATTTTACTCACCCAAAAAGAAGGCAATCATTGCATTATTTATGCAAAACATGTCGTATTAGTTTTTATAATCCAAAATCAGGATGATATCCAATAAGTAATCCAGAGCAATTAAGCTGATAGTTAATGTCGATTTTCACATGGATCGCACTGCAAAACAAGAGGGCACAAAACACTAGAAACCTAATGAGTATTGAAAGGGATTTGATTGCACAAGATGTTTGCTTCTTTGTTTCTTTTGGTTATATTTTTTTCTTGTTTTTTTTGTTCACTAGCTCAACGCGAAAACCATCACCATCCATGGCGAAAATGCCACAAAAAGTGGTCCGTCATGTAGGAACAGACAGGCGGCAGGGCAAAACAGAATTCTTCAAACTTCGATCGTGTATAGTATGTAAATGCGTACGAAATGTGTTTCGCAAGGTGCGAAAACTACGAAAAGCCCATTTAGAAGGTGCAGCGAAACGTTGAGAGACGTCTGTTTGCGTCTGCGTCTGCCGCACTTGGCTGGTTAAACAGCGGAAAGCACAGAGTCACCATGGCAGAAGAACCACCATCCACTAACTGTTAGCCACCAAACACCAACCACCAAGCCACCGAAAAGCAACCACCAACCGACCGGAGGAGACAGACTATGCGATGCGATGCGAACCAGGCGAGTTCAGCGCTGCGATGCGCGATCTGTGACTTTATCGTCCACGTTGTCGAAGCGAAATGATTTCTGAAAGCGAAAGGAAAACCACTTGGAGCCCATCGCAGCTCGGCAGCCAAGGCAGCAGCACCACCGAGGCACAGTACCGTGGTGCCAATTCCGAAAAATAACAATGTCCAGTGGTTCCTAAAATTATTCTCTATTTAGTGCCAATATTAGTGAGCTATACAACGAAATCCAAAGTTTAAAAGTATTATACACCCAAAAGAAAAGTTTCAAAGAAAATAAACTATTGATATATACATATTTGTTTGGGTAAAGTATTACCATTCCTTAATTTTGAGCAACAGAGAACAAAGCAAAGATATACAACTTAAACCATTTTTTACTACACAGAACAAAGTTAATATGTTTATAAAACTATTTCATCTTAAGTGGAAATACACAATAAAACAATATCCAACTTTTAAAAAGTTGAACTTAAACTTAAATTTCAGTCAATCAAAGCTATTCATATCATAAGCTTTAAATTTGTTTCCTGAAAAAAATAATAAATTGAATTATGGTTCTTTACCAGCGTTTGGTTGTATCAATATTAGCATTTATTTTAAGCTAATGAATTGAAATCAGACTTTTAATAATCTTAAATTTGGATGTTTTGATTTTCTAAACGTTGTTTTTAAGTCTTACATTACAAAAGTGAAATTTAATTTAATTGACATTCAAATTTGTTATTAATTTATTTATTTTAAAGTTTTGATTATTAATTCCTTGGGTGTCTCAATGATGGCCCACTGTGCGACGTCGTCGTGAGCAGAGCAGTGGCGTTCCTGCTCCGTCTAGCATCGTCGTCCGATGTTCGTTTTTTCAGTACATTTTACCAGTGTTTCCACTGCTTCTTGGTTCTGCTGCATTTTTCTTTGTGGTCTGCGCTGTCGTATGCTTAACGCAAATTACGCATACGCAGCGTGTGACCATATGACACTTGCTTAGTTGCATTGTACACGGAACGTGTGCACCGCCAGCCAGGAGTAGCTGGCTCTCATCACTTACGTCAGTTGGCCGCAGGGCCAGCTCATGATTATGGGCAAGCACTCCCACTCCCCCGCCCGACCAACGACCCCCACATCAATTACACCCGCTGTGCACTGGGCAGAAAAAAGGTAAGCCAACAGGATCCCCACGATTTGTCATTGAGCTTCCTAGTTCCCACATTGATTATGGTATTATTAGCTTATTTTCAGGCCATAGCCATAGGTAGAGCGTTAAAATTAAAATAATCTTACGTTTGGTTTGGTTTCAATTTTTGTATATGATCAATTGTAGTTACATGTTCTTGAATATTTGAATTGACTAAAATGTACAATCAAAAAAACATCTTATGCAAGTAAAGTAAAAGTAAAAAGTACTAAAGTACCAAATCAAATAAAATCAAAAATAAAAACTCCATTTATAACTAGATTTTAAAACACTTAATAACTTTGTGTATGTATTGTATAGTTAACTGTGTGTTTCAATTTAATTTGAGATTATTTGAATTTATTTGGAATACCTATGCAATTATTATCTATACATTTTGTTTTTAATCCAGAAAAAAATCTAGTAGCAGTAGAACACAATATTTTAGTTAAATAATTGACTTGGCCAACACATGTTTTTATTTTCCGTGGATAATTCATCATTAATACAATTTTAAGTCACTCTTTTGTATATTTCTTTTCAACCTGCCCTTTGAAGTTCTAGATTTTTGCAGTGCAAGTGCACCACTCAGCTCGCTTGTCGCCCGTCGCTGGTTGCTGTTTTCTATTTGCTGGTTGCATCTTCCGCTGGGTATTATGTCATAGCCGTGGCGGGGCTTTGTCATTCGGTGCCGCTGCCCCATCTGCTTGAGCTTGTTGTTGGTGCTGCAAGTCGGGGCAAAAGTCGCGGTGCCACCGCCAATCCGGTTATGTGTATATGTCTACTAGTATATGGGTGAGTGTGGCACGGAGTTAAGTGTTTGTAGATGAGAGATCGGAGTCGGGGGACTCGGCATTTGCTGCAGTGTGGGAATTTACACGCCTGCTGTTTTTGGCCAAGATCTTTGGTGGATCTTGGGCGTTGCTGTCTAGATTTTCTATATTCGCTGCTCTGGGGAAAAACGCTGGCAAAACAACCTCAAGCTGTCACCTGGAACTGTGACCGAACTGAACTGGCAGCTTGGCATTTCAAAGTTGAGGTTGCCTGCCGGAAAAAGGCCAGTCAACCAGAGACAGCCAGCCAGTCAGCCAGCCAAAGTCATGCAGATCAGGCGGCAGCTGGCGAAAAAAAATGTCAACTGGAGGACGAGCTGGCATGGATGACTTTCAACCCGGAGTTTTGCGAGCGGAGCCATCTGCCAAAGCCAAAAATCTGTGGGAAGTGGCCGCCATCTTTCTAATTTGCTGCCGATTGCGATTGTGCAATAGCGCCGCAAATGCTGTTTGTAATAAATGTTCGCTTTACGATCCAACAACTCCTGTGTGTGCCAATGACTCACGCGATCACTCGATTCCAGTTCCTCTGCGTGGGAAAGGCCAGCCAATAAGGAAGTCTTAGCTCTTAAGGTCCCAAACACTCCAATTGTTGTTCGAAGATGAGGATGAGGTCCGACACGATCTGTCGCTGGGCATTACACAGCACCTAAGCGGATTGGATTCTAATTAGCGGCCGCTTTCAATTAAATACCCATCTACTTGTGGCTGCCTGTATCTCGGCCTCGGACTTCCACGCCTGACATTGATGAATGTGCTCGTTGCCAGAGACACGAATTCGGTGTTCCACCTGGCAGTTACAAGCCAAATACTATAAGCAAAAAACAAAGAATACAGTGGCGGGGGTAAAATATTTAATTTTTACTCATTATGTAAGCTGGTATGCTGGTAAAAGTGCCGAGAAGCCGAAAGCATTTGCACAACGTGTGGGAGCCGGTGGAAAATGCATTCACCATCATCAGCCAGCGGCAAAAGCAGCAGCAGCTTAAATTCAATTAAGCTGAAGATGCGCCTGAGCAGAGACTTTCGACTCGCGACTTGCGACTCTCGATCCCATACCATCCCATCCAATCCCATCCATCCCATTCAGCAGCGCGCCAAAAAATGCCAAAAACCTGGCAGAAGCTGGTGCAACTGAAGAGGCTAATACACGGAAAGAAATTTGATAAGGTATGATAAATAAGACAAACATAATTTTTAATCACAATTATCTAAAAAAATGTCTAAATTTGTTTTTTTACGTTTATTGTTAGGATTTGTATATTTATTTAAATGCATTGAAGCTTTATATTTTTTAAATAGGAACCCAACACTATATGTCGGATTTAATTGAGATATAATATTTTTGTTTATTTTCCGATTGTTCCTATGTATATACATAGTATTTAAATCTAGTCCGTTATCCGCAATAGAAATAAGACTTTTGGGAAAGTTTCATTTCATAGCTTCAGAACTAGGAACTTAATGTATTTACTTTATAGGGTCGTATATAGCTCCTTCTGACTTCAATTTTAATACCCTTTCCAACAATAGCATTTAGAATTTGCTTGAATTTGCAATGCCCATTTAAATTAAATAAATACCTTTTTTTCGCCGTGCACTAACGAGTGACGAGGATTGCGATTGGGACTCGAGCGGGAATTGGAAACCCAGGTCGTTGAGTAATTGTGCAGCAATGAGCATGGGCTGCCAGCAGATTTTCCCGTTGATAAAGTGCAGCTCTCGGAAAACCTTTGGCAGCGTACCGCTCATAATAAGAAATTGCATAGGTACATACTATATAAATGCATTTACACATATATAATTTCGCATTTGCTGGCCAAGATTGGGATGAGGATTTGGATTCGAATTCGGATTCGGGGATTGCACGTGGCAACGGCAGCCGCAAATGGAGACGGAGACGCAGCTGTGCAATTTACAGTTTTATGGATGCGACGCCGATTGCGAAATCCAACCTGGCTGGGATTGGATTGGATGGCAGTCGGACATTCAGAAATTCGGACACTGGTCAGTGAGCGGATCGCCTGGCTAATTTGACGCATTGCCATGATGCGGCAGATTTAAAAACTGCAAGCCGTACACATAAAAGACATCATAAAAACAAATGACTTGAAAACGAACTTGTTCATTTCATACAATTTTCTGGTCGTAAAATATATTTTTATCATATTTGTTCTTAGGAAAATCATAAAACTTTTTGACGCAGATTTGTTGCTGGCAGAGTTCTCGAATTAAGAATAAAATAATTAAAATAGGCTGGAACGTTTATAAAATCAACGCTTTTTAATTAAATGTAAATTGTCAATAAAAAACTGGTTTAATAAAAGAATTGCAATCATCTACATATATACTAAACTATAACAATAATAATTGATTTTAGTGCGCTGCAAGTGAATACATAAGTCGAAGTTTTTGCTTGCTTAGCCCGGTAATAATATTTCTTTAACATAAAGTTTTTAATTAGTTTTCATGACACTTGCACCAACTGAAAACGTTTAAAATACTTTTAAAAAATCATTAAAAATTGCATTGACTTGCCGAACTAAATCGAAAACAAGTGCCATTCGTTTAAAAGCATCCTCCGGAAAAAGCCTACAAGCCATTAAGGCTTACCAACTTAGTTAAAACAGGTTTAATTACTAGGCCTATTAAGGAAAACGTTGCTAAAACATAAACGTAAGGCTAACAAAATGGCAATCTTCAACTTATATAATGTTAAAAATATAAAGAATACAAAAGAATCAAATTTGCGAACTAAACTTTACAAAGCACAAACGAAAACAGGTTGGTACCTGCGCCTATTGACAGTCAATAGAGTCAAGCATTCTAAATTGCATTTACTGGCACTCGTAAACCGACTTAAGCTGCCATAAGCCGAGCCAACACACAGTCGAAATTTGCATAAAATGTGCATTAGCCGCCCCCTCATCCGCCGCCGTCGATCCAGCGACCTCGCCACCATCATCATTATCACCATGGAGCGATGCAACTACACAGCAACGGAGCTAGGGAGCTATGAAGCTATGAATCTATGGAACCAAAC